AGAGTGTTGTTCAGCATGGGGGTGAGTAGAAAATGAAGGCTAATCATGTTTTGGGTGTACTATTCCTTTAAACTGGGGGGTTGGACTCAGACTTCAGCTTTAAAAACCTACAATGCAGCGATAGAGTTGATTCCTTTCCACTGTCATTCCAAACCCAACCATTTACAGGGGAACAGAAGACCTCGCCTATTCAGCATATTTCTGAGATTCTCCAATCCAGTGGTATCAGGGAAGTCTTCAGAAACAGGATGTTATGACAGGGAAGTTAGGAGGAATCGACACTAATGTTATGACAGTCCATCTAAACTGGTTCAGCTGGTTCCCTGTTTCAACCATCTGAGCCACTCAAGGCTGATTTATAGTCAGAGACCAGGTTGTGTGCATGTGTCGCAGTGAATGCAAATGGGCCCCCGCTCCTTCTGCAGACACTCTGCTGCACCTTTTTAAAATTGTAGGCGACTGCAGACAGTGCCGTAGACAGGAGGTCTCTGATTGGTCAAATCTACATCCACTCTACACCATGCGTATTTACTGTACTGGAAAACATGAAGATGGAGCAGCCAAAAGAGCGAGGTGTACGAGAACGCTTTTCCACCTAGATTCCTGCTCTTTTTGGCCCTCATGTTGTTGCATAAACTTGCCCCCACTTCACTGAGAAAAACGAGCTAGAAATAAGTACAAATTTGTTCAATTAAGTGTATTCACCCTTAATTTGAGTAGGTAAATGAGACAGTTTGCCAATGGAATGAGTATTTTTACTCTTAAAATAAGATAATTAGATAATATGCACTTGAAATAAGATAATTCAACTGTGTTTTCTTATTTTAAGTGTAAATTGTCTTGTTCCATTGGTAAAATGTATCTTTTTACCTACTCAATTCAAGAACAAATGCACTTATTGTAAGAAAAAATGACTGATCTAGGTTTAGATTTTTTGCAGTGATCCTCACCGCCTCGGCCGTATCTAAACTCACAGCTAGTTCCTGATTGGCCCTCCTGCGTTGTGTCATGGAATAACATAGCGCAGACCACGCTTAATATTGGACATAAATCAGAAATATCTGCAACAAACTAACTGCGACACACTGCTGCGGGACGATAACCAGGCCTTCAGTCTCCCTCAGATGAAAGAAACTGGTCAGAATGTTCAGGAACAACCCAGGAACGGAAAGCTCAATCCTTTCACAAAGAGAAAGCTTTATGTCCTGATGGACTTAGACAATGTGCTAATGCAGATTCTCAGTCATCTAGGTCATACTCATTCCAAAAAGTAAAAAATTTCAACATTCCACTGGACTTCGGTTCCAGGTTTGAAGATGTTTCTCTTCCCATCCAGGAAACTTTTTCAATTCAAAATGTCAGAAATAGCGTTTAGTTCCAGGTTTTATACAGCAGCCCAACAAAGCCTTGATTTTGTTTGGAAAACCTGCAAAATGAAACGGACGAACGGGTCCACCCCTTTGGAATGGGGGTCGTTCGGGTTCTTTTGTTAGCCTGCAATGCCCCATACCTGTCTATGTCTCTGAAGGGGGTGTTGTTCCCTTTAACGACCCCTGTTGCTACTGTATATCGCCATGAACTCAGCACTATTCCTGACTATTTGAACTGAAAAAGCTTCCTGGATAGGAAGTGAAACCTCTTCAAACTTGGAAAAAAAAGTCCAGTGGTTTGTTTTTGTAACTGTTTTGGAATTACTGTGACAATGCCAACCAAGGAAGAAGACCACGCCTCAAAATTAGGACTTCAAGCATGCAGTTTTGTTAACTTACCACGGAAACAAGTCAAATGTTTTCAGGGGAAAAGGTTTGTGGTTTGACAAGACAAACTCTTAATAAACATTTTGTTTAGAAAAGTTTCAAAAAAATAAATTCAGGTCAGGTAGCAGCAGAATCATAGAGTCAGGCTTTTTAGTTGCATGAGATACATGAGCTCTGTATAGAGTCCTAGAGCGGAGGTCTTCAACAGGGGGTCCGCGACCCCCAGGGGGTCCACGGAGGAACTACATGGGGGTCATGAAAGTTGTTTTTTTTATATTCCCACTTGCAATTTTGTTCCGCTAATTGAAATGTCTTTAAATACACATTAGCATGAATTCAACATACTTTAGTAAACAGATAAATGGAGGCAGAAGAGGCTCACAGTCATCAATGCACACATTCAGCGACACACAGGAGCTCTTTCAAGCTGGGCACCGTTTCATTCACAACACCTGTCCCATCAACCAGGAATCAGAAATACTTTAATAATCCCAGGGAGAAATTACTTTCGTTACA